GATTTGCTGATCATCACTGTGGTCTGATAGCTGCACAAGCACCTTTACAATGCAACATTGGTCAGCTCACATCAACCCATGTGACCTCAATTAAAAATTACTAAGGGAAATTTTTGCAAAGGGCTGAATTTTTGAATATTGAAATTGAGAAGTGGATAACAAAGTTCAGTGATACACCAATTGAGCAAAAGCCCAATGATTCTGCTTCATCTCTTGTTGTTTGTGGTGTCAACTATTTCCCAGCCATCCACAGAATTCTCACAATCTGTCGGAAGCGTATAATGTGAAAGTTATTTTTCTGCACTTCGGCGGGTAAAGTTATGGACACGATCTAGCATGGCTCAAGACAGACTCAGTGCTCTTGCAATGTTACTAGTACACCGAGGCATCATTCCTTCCCCAAAAGTGATTTATTCAAGGAAAGGTAATTGGAGATAAATTAATATGCTATCGCCAAAGTTGTAAACATAAACTGTGTATTGTACAACTATCAATTGTATTAATCAGTCCTGTACATTAATGTTGCTTATATATGAAGGTAGAACAAGAGTTTTTCAGGTATTAAAGTTTATACTGTAATATCCCGTGTTTTGTATATATTCATAAAATATATCAAGATGATTTTATTGTTAAAAGTAGATAGATATACCCCCCATAGACTTATGGCGCAACTGCACACCTCTACGCCTTTATACATTTATACGCAACTTAAAAAAAATACATTTGCTGCCCCCCCCCCCCTAGTGAAAAAAGCTAGCTACGGCCCTGGTCATTCTTTGCAAATTGTAAATAAAAGACATTTGTCCTGATAACAATTCCAATTGTGATGTGCATCTGATAACACGTCGCGACGTTCCTTGCACAATTCACTAAATCTGAATGTAGAAAAGTGTATTTTACTACATATAAGTTTGACCATGAGTTAAAATAGTTCAACCTCCTTGGTTTATTTTTAGCTGCTACAGAAACCTTGAGTTTCCAATTCACACTCCTTTATCGAGTCTTCACATTCATCTATACATTGCTCACAATTCGACGTATCCATGGACTCACACTTATCTATAGTATGTCAATGGTTCTACCCGACTGTTCTATGTGCTATATTATCACGGAGATTCGCATTATTAGAAGACACTGCGAGTACACAGATGTCCGAATATACATTTTTCTTTATATTTGTTATAAACATATAGATTCCGAGAAACGTCGACCAAAATGGTTGACAACAAACCGAATATTGCAGTGGTTACACGCTTCCCATCGTCGAATCAGATGGGCGTGTTCGTTTAATTAACAGTTAAAAGAACGGCAATGGCAGAATATCAGTTTTAGTCCCCGCTATATTCAAGTCACGATGGTTATCGAAAAGACAAGATGTAACAGATGTTATTGGGCTATTGTGATAGGTATTTTTGATGGTTAAAAACCTTTCACTTAGGTAACCGGGATTCGGTCGTTTCCACGCTAGGCTGACAAAAGACACACACAAGCTTCGTTCATGTTCCCAAAACGATTCTCTGCCAAGTCCCTGGTTTTTACCCGAGACAGCATTAAATCAATCTTTATTTCTTGTCACCCCTTAACCAATTACAATCAGTATAAGAGACTCCAAGGCCTTGCCTTTCAACAAACAACCAATCACATGAAAGTTTTACACATCATAATCAATTAATTACTCGTCAAGCTGTCTAGAGAAAACATTTCTATACATTGTCAACGCCAACTAA